TGTGCATGCTCTCCAGCTTATGAATTAAGTGCATCTGTCTTCTCTGCTCATCTTACTAATTAATGTCAGGTTAATTTAATTTGCACTCAAATTTATATTGCATTACTTATACAACTTTTTCTAACTAAGGTTTATATTGCTCTTTATTTAAAAGATTAAAATTGTACAATTTTAGACTTGATAAAGTAATGATGGCATTATAAAAGTCTATTAGGATTTTATCTGTTTAATTCAAATGTATGATAATAATCTTTACTATAAAATAAATTCTACCTACATAGTTAATTTTAATGGTGTCGATACATTATTTCCTTAAAAGGATAAAATAATTAAGGACAATTATATACTCTATGACATTGCTAAGATTAGAATAAATTTATCAATCATCAAGGGAGAACTGGAATTTTGAATTGAGAAATTCATACTGAAGAATGAATAATGTAAGCTTGAATTTGATATACTATTTCAAGCGATACAGAATGGAATTAATAAAACCTCTTGGTAGAAGAGCGACTCTGTCTGAACAAATAAGCCAATATTTAAGGGTTTATTTGATATTGTCGACAAATCTTCAATACAAACCGATAATATGCTTTTTTAGCAACAGACTATATTCCCATTATCGGTCTGAATAACATTCATAATACTTCTTTGTGAAAGGTTAGATTTCTAGAGAAAAACGCATGGATTTATATTAGATCGTAAAATGCTTTGGCCAAGACATTGTTGGCCTTCATATAGAATCTAATTTGAAGATAAAACTGTGATAGACTTGTTAATTCTGTTGACTTTTTTAGTTTACTTCTTTAAAGTTGATGACCCAAATTCATCATTAGATCCAGAAGTAGCTATATTATGTTCACTTTTGTATGCGCAGATGGATAAAGTGCTTGAATATTGTTTTGCTGAACTGAAAAATTACAGGATTTATGAATTCTAGTTTCAACAATGAATTACTTCTTATATAAGTACTGAAACGCTATTATTCTTGTGTTCTATGCCGATGAGAATACTTAAAGAATCCTTTCATCAACATTAGACACATTGTAAGTGATGTTGTGTTGTTAGATCAGATAAATTTCCTTTTTTCTTAGAATTGATTTAAATGTACCATCTTCTGCTATAAACATGTTATGGCAGCACTATTATCTCTTGTATTCCAAGTTCATATTTATAATCACCTTCATGCACAACATGTCCAAATATTTAGTTAATTTGTCCATCTTCTACTCTGTGCAATGTGCTAATTCATGGAAATTTTAATTCATGCAAGCTAATTGATTTGATTATATTAATTATACTACAGCTTCTATTTAAATGAATCTCTTTACTATTTAAACAACTTGCTTTAAAATAAACAATAAGGATAAAACCCAATATTTATAAAAGTGTTGAGGAAAATACTCCTTCTGTCCCGATTTGTATGTCTTCTCATCCATCAAAAGGACTGAAGGAATTTTAATTCAGAACTTTATACCGTAGAATGAATGAGGTGTTGATAAACTGATTCAGGCTTTAAAAGAGTGGAGTTAATAAAGAGTCTGTCACAAGAGTTATTCTGTTTTATCAACAAGAGACAATCCTGATCAAAAGATACTTAATTAGTCATTATAAAATCATGGCAATTATATTTTGCACTCCAAAAGAGTAATCTCTGCTATTAATACCTAAGTTTATCATAAAAGGTGAGCTCAAAATATTGCATGTAAATGGAATAGTCAAATTGGTCTCAATTATGTAGGAATAAATATTTGGTAGCTGTATCAGTTATCGATTCTCAATATTTCTGGATATTTATCATACCTCTCTAGATTCTGACAGTCGCATAGGCTTGACTTATAGTGAATCTTAAATCATTAAATGTGAAAATTATTTGATAGTCCTGTCAAATAGATCGCCAAAAATGTATCTATCCTTGTATTTTTTGTCCCAAAAACATGGCTACTTAATGAGAATAAAATTAATTGCTAAATGTTTTCCATGTATGTAGATAAAATATTTGATATAGATGCCTGCTCGATTAAGTCTGGTTTCTTAACGATACAAGTGTACATTCAAAAGATGTCAAAGGATATGCGGTGTGCTACAGGAAAACTGTTTTCATACAGTTAAAAATGTGTTTACTATTACTAAAATATTGTGAGAGCTTGAATGTTAATGTTGTATACCAATGGTTGTTTATAGTATGTGCCTTCGTTTTCGCAATTGCTCCTTAGTTAAGTATGGGTTTACTGGCAAATTTAAAGCAATTATTTATTTAATAGTGTCCAAATTCTATGTCCTTTCAAAGATAATGTTGCTTAGATAGTATTTATGAAGCCTCTCCTAAAATTTCTTATTATTAATGTAATAGTGATTCTTCAATATCTGACTATGATAACGATAAATTAATTTGTAATTGTTGAACTATTAAAAGTGTTCTTGCACCGACTCTAAATATACTGCATGGCAATCAAATCCTTGCAATATAATATCAATAAGAATTGTTCAAACCATATTAAGATAATGATGACAAATGCTGAGATTTTTAAGATAGACACATTAAAAGAGTTCATCAATCCTAAATGCCCTATTGTAATTCAACTTGTATATGTGTCATGCATATCGTATTTCCTTTTTAAATGCATCTGCTAAACTAATTTTGTAGATCATGCCTTTATTATAGTAATTGGCACTTCCAACCATGTTGTGATGTGAGAACTTTGTTAAACTGTGAAATTTTCTTTTTCATTACCTTTTATTTAAATCATTAAATTGTTTTGATTATTCAATACTAGTAAAAAGCTTGAGTTTGCTGATAAATCTTTCAAAGTATAGAGATAAATATATATATAAATAAATGAAATAATGGTAATATAGAAAAAACATAATAAAACAGAGTGCTTAATAATAATAATTGTCTGTTTTGTTAAACATGTTGAACCTGGTATACTTTATAAACGCTGACCTTTTTCAACCGACTTGAACTTTCTGAACTTTCTGAGTTTGTTTGGTTCTCTCAACCTAATGAATAAGAATCTATGGATCATTAGAAATCTTCACTAAATATCATCTTAAAAGCTTTGGNTCAATTATGTAGGAATAAATATTTGGTAGCTGTATCAGTTATCGATTCTCAATATTTCTGGATATTTATCATACCTCTCTAGATTCTGACAGTCGCATAGGCTTGACTTATAGTGAATCTTAAATCATTAAATGTGAAAATTATTTGATAGTCCTGTCAAATAGATCGCCAAAAATGTATCTATCCTTGTATTTTTTGTCCCAAAAACATGGCTACTTAATGAGAATAAAATTAATTGCTAAATGTTTTCCATGTATGTAGATAAAATATTTGATATAGATGCCTGCTCGATTAAGTCTGGTTTCTTAACGATACAAGTGTACATTCAAAAGATGTCAAAGGATATGCGGTGTGCTACAGGAAAACTGTTTTCATACAGTTAAAAATGTGTTTACTATTACTAAAATATTGTGAGAGCTTGAATGTTAATGTTGTATACCAATGGTTGTTTATAGTATGTGCCTTCGTTTTCGCAATTGCTCCTTAGTTAAGTATGGGTTTACTGGCAAATTTAAAGCAATTATTTATTTAATAGTGTCCAAATTCTATGTCCTTTCAAAGATAATGTTGCTTAGATAGTATTTATGAAGCCTCTCCTAAAATTTCTTATTATTAATGTAATAGTGATTCTTCAATATCTGACTATGATAACGATAAATTAATTTGTAATTGTTGAACTATTAAAAGTGTTCTTGCACCGACTCTAAATATACTGCATGGCAATCAAATCCTTGCAATATAATATCAATAAGAATTGTTCAAACCATATTAAGATAATGATGACAAATGCTGAGATTTTTAAGATAGACACATTAAAAGAGTTCATCAATCCTAAATGCCCTATTGTAATTCAACTTGTATATGTGTCATGCATATCGTATTTCCTTTTTAAATGCATCTGCTAAACTAATTTTGTAGATCATGCCTTTATTATAGTAATTGGCACTTCCAACCATGTTGTGATGTGAGAACTTTGTTAAACTGTGAAATTTTCTTTTTCATTACCTTTTATTTAAATCATTAAATTGTTTTGATTATTCAATACTAGTAAAAAGCTTGAGTTTGCTGATAAATCTTTCAAAGTATAGAGATAAATATATATATAAATAAATGAAATAATGGTAATATAGAAAAAACATAATAAAACAGAGTGCTTAATAATAATAATTGTCTGTTTTGTTAAACATGTTGAACCTGGTATACTTTATAAACGCTGACCTTTTTCAACCGACTTGAACTTTCTGAACTTTCTGAGTTTGTTTGGTTCTCTCAACCTAATGAATAAGAATCTATGGATCATTAGAAATCTTCACTAAATATCATCTTAAAAGCTTTGGTATGCTTAGAATCTGGTTTCCAAGCCATATTTTAACTGCTGTTTTTGCTTCGTCTATACTTAAATTTTCTAGAAGGAATGATCCACCAAGCTGAATAGTCTGCCAAAAAATTTATTATTATTCAAGTTAATTGATTATAAATAGCTTGCATATAAATAATCCTTTTCCTAATTTCCTCAATTATTAATTTTCAACTTCCTTGTCCCATTAAAGAATTCAATTATTCAATAATTCCAGTAATAGTTATCCTTTTCGCAAACCTTAAGAGCTAATCATAAATTCATCCTAAAAGCGACATTTCTAATCTGAATTAGTCATGTCTGTCATAAATCTGTAGAAATTATCTAAGAATCTCTTTGAATCCCATTTCTTCTTATTTTATTTGAACTTGCATATTCTAATCTAATTCTTTATCCGTTTGAACAAATCATTATTAATTTGAATAAAATATTCCCTTGCAAACTATAATAAGATGCTAAAATTAACTTATTTCCTCCCACAATAAATCTATAATATCCAGCTTTTATTTTTTTAAATCGTTTAATCTCTTTGCAATAAATGAAGATAATTTATCTAACTTATTTATCCCATTCAATTCAACATAATTCAACATCCACCTTCAAGCTACTAGGCTCGACCGGTTCATGGGGAGCACCTCTGTCTTTAAATCTCACTCTCTTCCCCTTTTATCGCTTTGTGATCTCTCTAGATGTCATTGTCTCCATTCTAAGCCTCTCTCTCTTTTTCCACATTAAGAAAAGGCTCAGGAGGAATACCCTCAGAATGCCCTGACATCAACATATAATTTATGATAAAGTAGTTTTATGTTATCCCATTTATATTTCTATAAAGCTCTTGCATTTTGTCTACTGTATCTTTGAACTCAGAATCAGAATGCAATTAATGCTGTATCTCTAATATTGCATCACTCCTCTATTATTAATAGAATACTCTTATTCATTGTTTCACATACCTTAAGAAAATAAATATTAAGTTTAGTTGAATTTCAGTAATTGTTTTTGAGTATTCTGATAATAAAGTATGATATTTAATTATTTAGATTGACTTTAATTAGCAAAATTGACAAAAAGCAAATGCCACTTGTGTCCAAGAATTCATCTACAACAGCCAGTGACTATTAATATTAGACCACAATTGTAAAACTTTGCAATGTTTATATATAAAATTAAAATGCTGTCTGGTGATGGTTTCTTTGTGAACAATAATCTCTTAGCTGATTCAAGTTTAGTTTTGTAGTAGGTGCTCATGAATATTGCAAAAGCACACATAAATTTTAAATCCACTAATACTCCCTACATACTGTTTTACAATGCTAAATGATTAAATGCACACTTGCAGGCCAAATGTAATTGTTTAGCAGCATAAGCAATTGTTTTACCATATTTCTAGTATGCAACCTTCAATATCTTGGTCTTTTCTACTTCATGTAAGGCTGCATGAGTGCCATCAGTCAACATGTATAAGTTGAACTTGAAACTTGTCCATATTCGTACCCTGAATCATCATTATTACTGTTTAGAGGTTTTTAAGTTAAGATGTCACAATGCCTCAACTATTTATAAAAACATGAATCAGAAATCGAAAGTAGTGTAACTAAAATTGAGCTATTTCAATTTTAGTTTGTCAATGTTTAACCCTGACAATATTTATCTAAATCCAGTAGTAGAAGCATGCTTGCTATATTTAAACGCAGATGTAACCTGTTCAAATTGTGTTGTAAATTTCAAATTCCGATTAAAATAATAGTTTAGGATGTTATGATGGTTCTCCGTTATATTTAAACTATTCATGCAAGAGTAATATAAATTCAAATAATTTGTAAATTATTACCAATGGCTAATCTGAAGGAAATATTTCATTAACTTTTGATCTAGTCTTATTTATTTGCCATATATTGGATATGATTAACTTTGATACTCTCTTTAAGATTACAGTTTTGAATGGTTTCTATATTACTTGTATATGAGTATTCCGCCGCTGCATAAGTGATCAGCTACTCAATTCAGCGCCATTACTGGTAGTAATCTTAAGCTGCCATTCAATTACATTTGAGGACTGCCCCTTCACTTGTGGCTATTTGAGTCAAACTTAAAATGTGCTCTCTTTACCTAATTAGTTTGGCATTAGCTTCCACAATTTGCCCAACATTTGATTAAAATTATGCAAAAATTGCTGGATCGTTTGCAATTATGCATCTTTTGTTGAATTAGCTACACCTCTCTTATAATGAACTGATATTTTGTAATGCAATTTATTACAGTTTTATATCATCTCACTCAGGCCTTGCCAGACTAGGTCTGTCTAGAAATGGACTTTTAATTTCAGTTAAGCCTAACTTCTTTTAAGTTTAGATAATCAATATAAATGTTTGGCTCTAATATTACTAAATCTAGAAGCATCAATTTCAAGCTCACAATTTATATCTAGATTTAGTCATATGACAAATTGGGTTGAAAACTTTAAAACAAGTAATGATTTTCCTCATTCATGCTTATATATTCAATTTATTCATATAATGATAAAATACTGGAACATTTAAATATAAAGCTATGATGATTAGGCTGAACATCTTTTCAATCCATCCTACTAGCGATGAACTGAACCTTGATAGAATAAATGTTTGTTTCTTTTTTGTGGATTTTAATTACACTGAGCACCAACTTTTTCATGGTAAAACTAATCCTCAACACATTCCATTTACTTATTTTCATTGAATTCCACCCTTATGTTAACCATCGCAAGCTCTTATTTGTCATATCAAGGAGAAGCACTTTGATGCATATCTCACTCAACTGCAGATATATACTATGTGTATTAGATGAAAAAACTCTAACCCTGAGGTAAACTCTAGCAGTAGCTCTTTCTTGTTGCTTGTAATATTTGAAATTCTTGAATTGTAATAAATAAGCATTCAGTTGTGTTAAACTAATTTTAATTGAAGGCCAGTGTCCATCTTGTTCCTCCTGTACTGATAGGAATTTAATTACAAGGTTCTCTTGTCGAAGTAATTATCAACATATTTAATTAGTATTGCCTACTTGCATTATATCCAATGTTTCAATTTTATTTTATACAGTATCATTTAGTTCGTATGCTTTGTAAACTTGGATAAATTTGAAATCGGAATTATATGCATCAAGTAATAATTTTAACAAAATTTTTTGTTATGATGCTCTTTGGCTTACATCGTCATTCAAGTCATTATGTGTGCATCCTAATCACAAAGAATATGAGTATTGTATTTTATATGTCCTTAATAACTGCACTTTATTATTTTATCTGCTTTAATGGCCCCAATTCGAAAATCAGTTACAATAGCTCCCCTGTAAACGGATGCAATTCTATTGCAAAAAATAAGAGTGCCTCTACAATATTATGATAAATACAAACCCACACTAATCCTTAATGCTTTGAATTCTCCTTGAAAAGTGTTCTTGAAACACAACCATTTGTGTTGAAGGCAATGATTGGATGCTTTTGAAAATGGATATGGTTTTAATTCTCCAGTCGAAAATACCAATTATCCTCTCTTAAAATATACAATAGTTGAATATCATTGTGAGCCACTAAGAAAAGTGGGGTAAGTAGCACATTTGTTCGGTAGATTACTGATTTCTGTTAGCCAATCTACTTAACTTCAAAATCCCATTTTTTATTTAATATTAAACTGTGTTCTTATGTAATGACAAATTCCTTAACAGAGAGTGAAGCAATAATTCAGAGGTTTATTTTTCAACCACATTGCCATCCTCTCCTTTGAAATTCAAAACAATGATTACTGAAAGCGCTGAATTTTTATATGTTCCACCTAAGATAGCTGGTGTAATAGGTCCAGTGGTACTTGTTCTTATCATTCCTCATCTAGTTAAAAAAATGTTTATCGATAGTTAGGGTTCACTTTATAACTCCTTATGCTTTTGTTTGCTATGGCAATTACAAAGGTATTGTAATAATTTCCTTGCGTGCGTGTGAGGATTAGAAGAAATTTTGCAAACAATATTAATATGGTGGTGCAAGTTAGGATTGTCTATCCTAAATATCCTGTTGTTGTTCACCCTTGTTAGGTTTATTTACCTCCTAAATTTACTTTATTGTCACTAATTAACTTTTGGACTGTAGCTTCTCAACTATTTTTATGTGTCACAGGTTAGTAATAGATTGTGACTTCCAAAAATGTTCCTCTCAAACCTTTTTTTGCTAAGAGTGTTTTTAAACTGGAAGAATGATCTAACAATTTTGGGTATCATTTACAACAGCCACTCGTCTGCAGGTTATTAGTGTGAACATCCTTTTTGAAAGTGGAATATAAACTTTATGAGAAACCTGTTTATTTCTCATATTTAAATCAATAACTTATATTTATCTGATATATTCCAAATACATAGGATTCTTTATTATTACAATTTCTCCAATATTAGAATTTGAAAGAAATTTGTTAATGAATAATAAATTTACTATTCAAAAAATCAAGATTCACACTCTATATTTAACGAATCCAACTCTATAATGTTTTCATATTATTGGGCATTATTTTTTCTTCATTAATGAATGTCATTTTAATGTCTAAGCTGACTGATGCTGCCAAATATCACAGATTATACATGATCCAAACCATGTTATCAATACTTGGTGATAAGATTATTTTATCTAAGTTTAGACTAAAAATAGTTAAAAGGACATCATTATTATTATTAATAAAAATCTTTGTAAACTTAATTAACAATTTACTCTCACTACATTTAAATTTAATTCTCAGAGCATTAATATTTTAAGAGTGCATCAGTTTATTTCTCTACTATGCTTATTATAAACCTTTTCTTCTAATGCCTATCCTTTTTTGGATGAAAAGATATTGCTTCATTGTTACAATAATTGCTTCTTGATATTGATTTAATTAAATATAAATGAATTGATAATGCAATACCTCAATTTTTAGATTTAACAATAAATTACCCTTCTTAATGGCAAACAGAATCAATCTGCTTTTACATCAATGAAAATAACTTCTTTGTAGCATCCATTTATTTATTACCATTAATGATTCTATTTTATATTCATTACCTCACTTATTTTCAAATTTATGATCAAATTAACACTAAAGATAGAAGTACTTATTAAAGACTAACAAATTCTCCATTCAAAATTAAAGTCCCTGAACCTTAGAAATTGGCATTAAAAGGAATTTGAAAATTGAAATATTAGAAATTTGAGAAAAAATAAATACCACCTTCTAGAAAACATCATATTTAAAATTTGAAGGTTAAAATTATAAAATATTGTTGAAGGCTAAGATTTTTTTTCTTGTCTTAACATTCTATAAACGCGGGTAGAGATTCGTATTCAGGCAGTAGGGGTTTAGGGAGAACATTCGTATTCTGTCGGTAGGGGCTTAGGAAAATCAATCCATATTTGGCGATTATACCTAGGAAAATCCAATCCAGACTCATATTCAAGCAGTCAAGGCTAAGGAAAATCCACTCTTATTCTGGCTGTCGGGGCTAAGGAAAATATCCATATTCTGGCCTTCTTGGCTAGGAAAATCCAATACATATTCCTGCCTCTTGGTTAGGAAAATCCAGATCCATATTCCGCCGTCTTGGCAGGAAAATCCGCTATCCATACTCTGGCAGTATTGGCTAGGAAAATCTGACTCGTATTCTGGCCTTCGGGGCTGAGGCAAATACTCTGATTTCGGCGTCAGGGCTGAGGAAAATCCCCGATTAATAAACTTTTGTGATTCTAATTCAAAAGCTTGTAGAAAAATTTTCTTGTGATTCTAATTCTTTTAATATTGCAATTCTAATACTACTAGAGGCATAAATTATTTTTCTTGTGATTCTAATAGTGTTAATATTGCAATTCTAAGACAACATCCTATAGAAACAACATTTCTCGCAAATCTAATACAATGAAAACTGCAATTCTAATTCCATCAATTTTAATACTGTTTACTTAATTTGAGTGATAAAATAAGAGCCAATTTTAATTAGCTTATACCATTCAAAATACTTCCTTTTACAATCCTTTTTTCAGAGATGGGGTCATAAATACTACTCATCAATAAATCGCCATATTTATTGAGGTGTTACTCTAAATGGTGCCATATTTTTTTTAGGATTTATAATGGTGAGTATCAAGAAAGATTTAATTCCATCAAGTTTTTTTTACAATTAAGCACTAATGCACTTAACCGTAATCCAAGATGATAACAATATTTATGCTGACAAAATAATTTAAAGTAATTCTAAAATTCTACCATTTCTTGTTCCCAAAACTATTTAATATGCTAAAAACCATTTTTTCCTAATGCACCTAAAATTGATATCGACTCATGTCTTTATGTTTACACCTCAATTTTAGATTCTTTTAGGAGGGGATAAGTATGTACAAAAATAAATTCATACTACAATACCTTTTTAACATTTAACCAAACTTTTCCATAAATCTAAATTTAAACTACTTTAAAAATATTTATATGAGTGTTTTGGCTGACTACAAATCTTCTAAGGCACTAATTTTAACCCTTTTTGCTATCCATTTAACATGATCCTTCTTAAACCCCAAGTATAAATTTACAATTATCTATTGCGAAATTTTTCTTAATATAATTAATTTAACTTTCATTCAAACCTTCTAATTGTTGATTCAAAATTAGTAAAATTGACAACATAATTTAAATTCTTAAAATGATCTTTTTAAATTGAAGAAGAATTCTCATTGTTTTTAATAAAATACACTTTTGGGACCATACAAATCTCCAAGCTAGCTATTCATTTTCTTTTATTTTAAATAATATTGAATTTCTATTACTTTATTTTGAGTTTTATACTAAGAATCAAATAAGTATTTAGCACATTTTGATAACAACTCTCATAAACTTGTGTATAGCTTGATGTATGATGAACATAAGAAATTCAAAACAATTTATGAACAAAATTGTAACATAATCACTAAGATGACAAAGTTAACTCATCAACACCAGATAATGATTCAAAAATTCTATTTATTACACATGAATGTTTATTATTATATATCTTAATCAAAATTTTAACTTTGTAAAAATTATTAAAAAAATTATGTTCAAATTAGATTTAGAGAAAAGGAAAATTATCAAATGTCATGCAGTTATTGATGTTGAGTAGAAAGGCATTATAACCATGCAAATGCCTTAACTTTTAAGTTGTTTAACATTAGAAAATGTACACTATATTCCTTTGACTATTAGATTTTCAAAGGCAATCGGTTAGGTATTTGTTTTAGTTATCAAAAATAAAAGAGTTTATTATGTTGTATATTTATATGTAATGTTTTAATTGTAAAAATCAATTTTAATCTATTTAGCTTTCCAAAAAGCAACTTCCTTTTGATTTAAATTATGATCTTAAATCGATTCCTTAATAATTGATAAATTCTCCTTTCAGTATTAAAGCTCCTTAAGCCTCTAAAGTTGGGTTTTAGGAAATTTGCAGAATGGTTATATTAGAGTTAGCTAGATGATAATACAAATAATATATACCACTGCCAGAAAGAATGTTATTTGGAAAAATGGGGAGTTTAGATTATGCTGAAATTTCTATGTGGCGATTGTGTGAAAGTAAAATTTGTTGCCCTGTTTCAACATCCCACAAACGGATAGAATCATAACTTCCAGATGCTAATGTAGTACTATCAGGAGAGAAACAGACTGACCAGATACTTTCTGAATGACCATCTAATTAGGCTTTTTATTCTCCTGTCTTGACATCCCATAAACGGATAGAGTTATCTCCTTGTATTAATGAATTTACATTACCACTACCAGATGCTAATGTAGTACCATCAGGAGAGAAACAGACTGAATAAACTTAACTTGAATGACCATCTAATTTCGCTGTTAATTATCCTGTCTTAACATCCCATAAACGGATAGAGTTATCATCACTACCAGATGCTAATTTAGTACCATCAGGAGAGAAACAGACTGATCTTACATAACTTGAATGACCTTCTAATTTAGCATTTTATTATCCTGTCTTTACATCCCATAAACGGATAGAGTTATCTCCTTGTATTAATGAATTTACATTACCACTACCAGATGCTAATGTAGTACCATCAGGAGAGAAACAGACTGTGTTAACATCATTTGAATGACCATCTAATTTGGCTTTTTATTATCCTGTCTTAACATCCCATAAACGGATAGAGTTATCATCACTACCAGATGCTAATTTAGTACCATCAGGAGAGAAACAGACTGATCTTACATAATCTGAATGACCATCTAATTTAGCATTTTATTATCCTGTCTTAACATCCCATAAACAAATAGACTTATCCTCACTCCCAGATGCTAATGTAGTACCATCAGGAGAGAAACAGACTGATAGAACTGAATCTGAATGCCCATCAAGCATAGCTTTCTACTATCCTGTTTTTACATTCCATAATCTGATTGAATTATCCAAACTTTTTTTAGAATTATAGATAAAGGGAGAATTTCCACTACCTGATGCTAAAGTAGTTCCATCAGGAGAGAAACAGACTGAATTAACACAACTTGAATGGCCATCTAATTTATTTAACTCATGTTTCATATTTTTCCATTTACACTTTCCGTTATATACTTACTTTATTTCTTTTAATAATTGAATGTTCTCTTATTAATTAGTTACCTTCTTTTTTATGAATTACAGAACATCCATCAATTCTGTATTAAACTTTTGGTATAAAGCTTGAGTTTCTTACCAGTATTTCTTTGTCAACTCCAACTGCTCCAAATATGATTTTTTCTAATTATCTGTAACATCTAATGTTTTTCCAATAATAATTTAGACTAATTTGTCTAAGTCAGTATATGACAATTCTATTGGATTCACATTGCCATTAATGAAATTCAAATAGAATTTATCTTCTATCTCAACCACCTCATATATCTGTTTTATTGATTCTGCTAACTCATCCCAAATTTATTTTATCTTCTTTTAAGTTGAGGTAACCATTTCTTTAAAATTCATTCTTTGAGTTGTTAATTCAGATGAATCGTTAACCTTTAATTCTTTTAATTTCTACAGAACCATTCCCTGAAAAATCTCTATTGGAGCTGTTTGTTTCTTTTTAACCTCATGTTCATAAAAGCATACAGCACATAGCCTCCTTTAATAATAGCACTTGTGAGGAGCTAAACATATCATTGACACTTAATTGCCATTATGATGAGTGCAATTCATTATCTTGTTAAAAATATATATTGGAATTTCTATTACTTTATTTTGAGTTTTATACTATAATTCAAAAAAAAAGGTATCTTGCAAATTATTGTTTAGTAGAAATTCAATATCACAAAGATTTAAGGCTGATGTAAATTATACTAGAGAAAACTTACATAGACTTATGCATAATTGGAATCTTAATGCATATAGAATAAAAATAACACAAATAATTCGGGTTTGGTACTTTCGCCCCTACCACTACAGCTGGAAAATACGTAGTAGTAGGTTGGTATCGATTCCCAAACTTGCTCAAACAGGGATTAAATTTAAAGGGGTTCCTGGAGTGATAGGAGGATGAGAGAGGAGGCTTTGGAAAGGGGCTGAAATGCAACCTTGTATAGAGGGGTTGGTTTCTCTCTAAACTGAGAGAGATAAAACAATTCTCTATGTTATATCTCTCTCGTTTATACGCGAAGGCAAAAAATCCCCGGCGGTGAATTCTGGAAGACCTTCTACGCGAAGGTAAAAAATCCCCGGCGGCGAATTCCGGAAGACCTTCACGCGAAGGCAAAAAATCCCCGGCGGCGAATTCCGGAAGACCTTCTGTGGTGTGGG